TGATGATAAGAGAATTACAATTTGAGACCTCGGTAGCCATAGACACTAGTTTCTTAGCGTAGCACCCAGGAGATAACTTCTAAAGTTCGAGTGGGACTGTAGTAAGTACCCTTCTCGGGTACATAACGAGCATTATGCTGAGTCAACTGATAAAACAAACTCGCAGGATACACCAGTTCTCCGCTTGAGACACAGACAATAACCAAGCAATATTGTTACACAGAATGGCTCCACTCAAAGTGTTATGTAGTGGTTCAGCTTGGGGCAATATTCTTAATCATGAAATGCCTTTCATCTACCGCAGCAATTTAATAGGAGAAACAGAAGCAGCGTAGAGTTTCATTGTAGTGTCGTAACTCACAGTTCAATTTAGATAAATAATCCAACTGTATGTGCCGCATCAACCGTGTGTTAGATTTCGCCTCCAGATGACATCCGCTGCGTGAAATTACCGCTTTCATTGGTCCAAGCGTAAAAAATCCAGCCTGCGCTGGTAGCGGTGCAAAATGGAACATCGACCACATGCAGTGCGAAGTCTGACTACATTGAAGTGCATTATTTGTGATCTCTCGACAAGTTGAGCTATTGTTCGCTACTATTGCAAAATTGCACGCGAGAGTTAGCTCAAAAGCAGCAGGATCAGAGCCTCACTAGAAGGCGCGTTCTATTTGACACGGTCACAGTTAAAATACACTCGAAAGACATGTGGGGATACTACCTCGGTTTGCATGAGTGAAACGCAGTGCGCCTGTGCAACGAGCCACACAAAGCTAGATGGAAGACAATTAGTTCGTGTAAAATGCCCATTTATTGTTATTCCCAAAGAGAAACGTAAGCAGCCAGCTCAAAGCAATGACTTTCGATCTATTCGTCATCACAGAAACAAAAGGTGACGACCTTAAAAGTTGTCACTGTTCATTTCCGTAATAAGCCCAAGGACGAATAGATCAAAGACAATTGTTTACTCTTAACACGCTGCCTACATTTCTCTCTGGGTAGCTAAAAAAATAATAATAATGTGTCAGCTGTACGCCGTAACGGCGCTTCGCTGCCGCGCGACCACCATCAGTCGCGCGCGGGCTGAGTATACCGTGACGACGCCCACCCCTACGCGGATTCGAACCGGTGACCTTATGGTTGCAAACCAACCGTGCAGACCACTCGGCCACCGGCTGACTGGGTAGATAACTATTTGAAATTGTACCGGCGCATCAAAAGCCCGAAATCCGTGTCGATGTAACCACTGCACAGTAGCTTGATATGACTTGCGCTGCCTCGGATACTCCATACCAGTAGCTATCGATAACATCGCAATTATCCTGAATGACTGTGCACAACTGATCTGTGTGGAGAGTAAATGCAGCGTTGCCATCGCAACACACGAGCCCGATTGAGGTAGCGATTTAGCTTGGGGCGAAACCGGTCATCATCATCACAATACATGTTAGCAGAGGATGAGAAACACACCTTAGCTAAGTGTCACAATAAAAAAGATAAGAGATTAAACAATATAGACTAAAAGGCTATAAAAGAGTATTGTAATCATATCATGCATAAGGTTTGAGATCGTTGCTGGAGTGGGAAGCTAAAGGGGAAAGCAGTGAGAAAGATACTAACAACACAAACGTCACAGAGGTCGTCTCTTTGCCATGTCAGCTAGTGTACCCAACCAAACATGTTCATCGTCCTTCGGTCCTTAGCCCGGGAGTGGGCGAACACCAATCGACGCCAGGTTTGAAATGAACGGACTTCATTCATCTTGACCAAGTCATCGCTCGGACTTCCCTCCTTTGCGAACCCGGTCGGTTCGACCAGGACGAGGAGTACGCATCTAAATGCTTGCTAACTCTACGAAAGGGCGGAATGTTGTAGTTCAGAAAAAATAACACGGACCAGTAGTATACTGTAGCATTTATGCCGAAAAGTGCCACCGCTAACATGACGAACAACCTCGCCGTGATGCCAGCTAGATGGTTCGCGTCAATCTCGCTCCAGCGAATGGTTCGGCAGCAGTGTTTCAGGACCTTGTAAGTTTCCACCTGGCAAGCGTTCTCGCTAGAAAGAGCCACAAATGTCCGTGTAACATCATTGTGACGTGGTGCATGGGACTGGCCACTAAATAAAATCACTGCCTCTTGCCACGCAAGATGATCTTACCCTCTCCGCTGACTTTAGTCATCTTCTCCGAAGAGTCCCTGTGATCCATTCTTACACTGGCAACCCGATCAAAGGCAATGACACATGCGGCGTTACATTAACGACCAGACAACATGGCCAATTACACACGTGATTATATATGCACATAGATCTAGCAGGCGAATGGTTAACTTGCAACATATTTGTACAATTACCGATCTGCCATGTTGGTATCACTATAACCATGTCTTGCAAGCGTACGTCGCACTGCCGAGCATTAAAATTTATTTATTTATTTAGCTGTCGGCCCTGATTTATTGCCTGAAATGCTAAACCGCATCACTATTCTTGAAGTTATCTCGCTGGAAACCGAACAGCTGCGCTTGATCGTAAAATACGATCAAGCTCTGTCCTGCGAAATAGTTAAAGGCTCAAGCAACGTGAAATCAGACACACTACGCACGGCTAGCTCTCGCTCATTCGTAATCACAACTAGAACTGATGTACGCTTACGCAGATCAAAAAAGTGATTGTGTTCAACACATCCGAAAGATTGAGTAGAGAAAAAGTCAAAACAATTTTGTTCGTAGCATGCAATATGAGTTGCTTTGTCTATGTCTCCTGCTCCATTCGATAAAGGAAATAGCACAAACAGCTAATCTGCGCCTAAGACCATTAGTGGACGTCCGATGTTAGCAAGAACGGTCACGTATGACGAAGACTTCAGTTGGAAAGTTCAACGTCAACCCTTCTTCACAACAGCGGTCAATAAAACCGATAGTTCGTGAATTCTTATAAGGAGTCAGGAGAAGAGTTGAAACCGCCAACTATCCTCATAAATAGACGACGCCGCAAAGCTTGGGAGCAGTCGATCGATGGCCGTCACTGCTTTCCCACCCTTTTGAGTGCGAGGAACATACCAGTAGCCAAACGGATGCAGCGAATAGTAATTATATAACCAATCGACAGGCCAGTTAACGTGGGGGGACGGAACGGTAGCTCGCCTCGTGAGGACTCAATTGGGAACGCAAAGGAAAACACACATATGTGGTGAGTGTGCTATAGAATCCCTGTGCAATCTGATCCTTTGCTCCATCTAAAGGTGAGAAAGGAAGATGCTTCATTAGTAATCGGCCACGTGTTAGTCCCCCGGTCAAGCAATCGATGAGAACTAAGCTGCCAGATTGTACAACGTCTGTTGTACATTATCGGGATTCAAAAAGCGGTTTGGTGGTTTGCCAACCCATTTGTATTACGCGATGCGGTAGTGAGCATTTGTAGATGAAGTAGCGCCAACTGAGTTATAAAACCTGGGTAACAGCATGTAGGTACTCGCTCTAGTTAATACCATAACGAGCGCACCAACAATCGATCGAGTTTGCTGAAATGTTGATCCTCGACTTTGCCACTTTCACCTCGGATGAGTTAGCAAGCATCAGAGTTTATTCAGCAAAAGCGATTGTCCACCACCCGGGCTGAGTGATAGGTTATAGGGTCACGAGCCACTTGACCACTGATACCGAAGAGCACGAGGTAGTTGATTGATGCACGTACCGTGACAGCAGCATCAGTAATAATGAGCGCATAACCACTGAAGTTAGTTCACGCATAGCAGAAATTAGAACTATCTTCTTGAATCTGGGACATCTGTGGCGTTAGAAAGGCGTTCCTTCGGTCTGAAAGACCATGTTTACAGGGCCACAGTGAGGGCCGTCCTACTTTATGGCAGTGAGACTTGGCTCCTTCGAGCTGAGGTCCTGCAGTGTCTGCGAAGCATTACTACTATCGGACGACAGTAACCTGTCCGCAACGACAATATGCGTACGCGAGTGCTAGGCTGTGATAATCATGCTAGTGCTTTAGTACAGTAGGTAGCACGGAATAAGCTGTGTTGGCTTGGGCTTGTACCGCTTGTGTCCTATCTCAATGGACTTATTGTTCCCCTGTGACATTCCCCGGTTTCCTAAAGAAGCATTTCCAAAATTTGGTAGGTCATTGACACAATTGTCTCGATGTAGTGGTATTCTAAAGCCGACCTTCATTGTCATTAATTGTGTCCACGCATTCCAGTTTAGGCAAAAGGCTCACATCAAAAATACTCGCCGATGCAAGTCCCCCCCTTTATGGTGCACTGTCTAACCGCAGATCAACCTCCACAACAAGACAAAAGTACTGATTTATTTACTTCTGCACAAGAGCTTAGCACTTACCCGTAATCCCACATTTGGCGGGCTTTTTGTGCGAGCAGACATTAGTCGTTATGGAGCTCACAAGCAAATTTACACTGTAACAATACTGCCGTCTTTGCCGCTTATTAACTGTTTGTGTATTCTTTTTACAATGTTGAAGGTGCGCGTGTTACAAGTGAATATCTACCCCCCGGAGGGCATAAAGCTCTTCCTTGAATTGAAATTGTCACCTGCAACCGAGGGAGCGATGTTTTGTTTGCCAGATGTAGAGTGGCGCAAGACTCGAGGTGAACAAAAGTTGACTTGGTAGCGTGCAATGAAGTCAATGAGGACCAAACTCGGTACCGTACGCCCACCTTGCCTTCCAGGCTAGAGCGCACATGACCTGGCTTGTGCTCGGCTCGAGACGTAACAGGACATGGCTCGCGATCGATACCAGTGGGGTATCTGCTGTCGTTTCCTAGTCGAGCTGCCTGTTTAAAATGTGTTTGATGCTGAGTTATCTGCGGGCTAATGGCTGATTGCGATGCGAGGCAGTGACAGCCGCAAGGAAGGTGTCTCGCTGATGGTCAGCTGTTTGTGACGGTATGTTGTTGACAAGGTGTAGGCGCCTTGACCCAAAATGTTTGTTTAGGGAATTAAGATTTTATGCTAGGTCCCTCTTATCATTACACGTTTCGTAGGTCGCTATTGTTGTACGGCAGCGAAGCACCAGTACCAGTAAAAATGACACATGTACTGCTGTTGACGATGATGTATGATAAGATCAAAATTGGTCCGACACAGTGCGAACGAGGTGCAGCTTTTCTGGGCATGAAAGTAGTGAATTGAAACGAACAGCAGAGATCAAAAAAACAGTGCTGCAAAAATGGAATCAACACACCATGACGGAAAACAAATTGAAATTCAGTGTAACTGAAATGATCGTACAGTTAATAAATAAGGAGCGTTTGATCGCAGTCTGGCATTTGTTCGGAATAGTGTATGAAAAAGCAATAGTGAGCTTGACCGCCACATGTTTCGCATGAATGCTTTGGTAAAGACTAACTAGGAGAAACAAAAGAATTCAACTGTCAACCTTGTTTCCTATTTAAAGACAGAATAAGAAAATATCGGTTTAGAAATCATTTTCGCAGTTGCAAGGGCCAAGAAAGTGTCATGTAAAGCGTAATTCTGAATAACAGTGAGGAGAAAACAGGTAGAAGGGAGCAAATTTTCGGCACATTAAGCAGAATAAGGAACGTTTTGATGCCGAAACAAAAGAGAACAACTAAAACTTCGTGGAGGAAGGACAAATTATGGGACAATTGACGAATCTTTCTTCCGCTTTAGATAGGGGAGTGGTATGAACACAATAACTGCTCTGGAAACAAACATGTAAAGTGAGTTCGAATTGCGAATGAAGCAACCAGCTTGAAGGGAGATCGAGAAAATCTGGTAAAACACAAGCACCAAATAATGAAGGAGTGCTGTGGATGACGTCCGCCGATAAAGTTCGAGTGCTAATGTGAGCAGGTATATCGGTGGGACATCCCTCGATGCACACAGCATACGAATAAGTTCAGCAAAAAGGGAATGAAAAATCTGTGAACTTCTGAGCGTTAGATATCATAATAATTATAAAACCACTTTCACGCCGTTAAAATCAGTAACAACGGCGGCAGAGGCGACGAGGAATATGAGAAGCACGAGATTTTGAATGGCAAGTTTACCCTTGCGCGCGCGATTTCAGTTGTACACGTAGAGCACCCGCCGATATGTTGTCACCAGCACCGACTGTTCGAATTACCTTGGAACATACCAGCACTGGGGATACACAAATCTCGACGTGTGTGGCGAAGTCACTTAGACCGACTTCGTCCGGATGACGCTGATCACTGTGTCCGGGCAGAGTTGGCTCCGGTTCTGTCCAACAAGTGACCGGATCAGTCGCATTGAAATGGATACGAGGAATATCGCCTTCAGAAGGTTTGCTCAGATGACTGATTGACGGACCCCATTTATCTGGATCTGCTGTGACCGCGAAAGAGTCGTCCACGAGTAGAACCGTTTTTTTCGGGTCGATCGTGGAAGAACCGCAAGTGTACCGATTCGCAATGAGACTGGCCTAGACGAGATGCGGTAGTATGCCGTGTTAGGATAAATGGAAAGCGAAGTGGTATTGCAAGAAGATCAAGTGATGAACCGACGACGAAGCATGATTGTAAGTGGAAAAAGAGCACTGTAACGCACTTATCTACCCATGAAATTCTTTTACTCTCCGCTTCGTGGTCTAATCTACAGACCTTGGCCGATCGTTGATGGATATCGACCAGCGTTCACGTGCGCCTCCTTACATTCCCATTGTTAGCGTTGTAGGTGTGTCTGTGTGTGCATGCTAATCCCCGGCACTGGTTCCGTGCGTGTGCGGCTACCGACGACCTTGGATCTCCAACCCTACTCTTTGCCGAACATGACACGTTCAGCCCGGAGCATGTGTCGCACCCCCTCCCCCGTTCACTGGTCGCTCGTCCAAACACCATGTTTATGCGTGCCATTAAACTCTCACCCTGTGACTGGACCATTCATTGATTGGTCAACGCCATTATTCTTAATACTCGTAGCACTCAGGTGTGGTGAGTTGTTCCTTTGATTGTCCGGCGTAGACAACTCGTTCCCTCCCATTGTTTACTGACACCTTATTGTCAACTTGCATACACCGGGATACTGAACAATTGAAGTATGTCCCAATTATCAACTGTATATATTTTAATAGTACGTAGTATTTGTGATCCGACTTGTTTTGATTTCGGGATTTTTGGCTACGCGTTATTCAACGTTCACGGTGGACGTTACAAGCACTTCGTCGAAAAATTCACATAAGCGAAACGTACACATACAGGGGAGGGGACCCAACTCCGAGGCAGTAGAATATCCGACACTCCTACGCAAAAAGCGGTGAGCGTTGGTACAGTGTTTTGTGGTGGCTAGATAGATAAATACGTGTAATGACATTGCTATCACCTAGTCATCTGTGTTCGAAGAAGGATGGACGACCGGTAATGCAGTTGTGAGTTCTTAGGAGCAGCACCCAAGTTCGATGAAATCACCGGCCAAAGGAATCAAACAATACTAATTCATAGGACACGGAGAGCTAGAAGATACAGAGTGTCACAGAAGAGCTGATGAAGAGAGGACACTGTGCTAACTACATTATCGGTCGACGGAGAACGAGCAAACAAGACTCATCGTGCAAACGTTCCTGATATAGTAAACAATTTTTTATTAAAATAAAATCACTCTGTACTACAATATTCTAAACTTTAGAGATTAACTGTGGCACACAATAACCGTCCTGTTTTGATAAGATGCCGACTGGAGCATGCTCCGATAGAGTCGAAAATATGCATAGCAACAAAATAAACAACTTGTTAGAACCAGTGTGCCTCGTGACGGATTCCAGTCAAGTATTAAAAATGGGTAAGGTATAGAAGCAAAATGAAGGTAAATTCGCGCTATGAGTAAGTATTACAAGCCTGGAACTTAGATGATATCGAAAAACCTCCTCAGATTTCCGTACACATTACAGTCTTAGTCAACTATCTCTAGTACCATTCGTGCATGATGCGTTCCATTGACGACGCGGAGGAATGTCGTTACCGTCAATAGGGACAGAGTTTAAGGGGATTTACTTTATACAGATGTCGAAGGAAAAAATTCGTCGAACACGCGCTCACAATTCATACGACGTAAAACAGATGAACACTGTACGAGTTGGGGGTACAACAACCCGGACCAGTCTGTTCACATCGTGTGTGTGAATTCGGCCATAGCTATTGGAACAGTGACCAACCTCTGCTGCGTTCGCCACAATGAGGGATCTGAGAGATCATAATATTTGCAAAGCTAATCGTGTCTAAGTGCGATGAATCGCCGACGAACTAATCGGTTGTTCGGGGAATTGAGCAAACTGTCCAGTAAGCAAGCGTAGGACCTATCAGCCGCTTTCTCATTGAGATCTTCACTCAAAGACACTCCCACATCAGTGTGACATACAGCTCAGACCAGATCAGTGTAATTATAGGGTAATCGATGTCAAAGATTGAAGCAAAGCAAACAAACGATTCCAGCATATAAAGGGTGTATTTGCTGGGGGGAGGAGAAGGTAAAGGTTTCGTGGCAGATCTGAACTCAGAGAACACCTCCATCTAGTACGGAACGGGCTGCAGCTCAACAATCTTCATATGTACGTATGACACGCATAAGTTTCTCAATTTCTCAAGAGTGACATGTTTGTTGTAGAAAAGTGGCACGAATCCGCAACAATGTTAGCTCCGTCCACACGTTACCCGGTCTTATTCTTTCGAGTTTGCACTGAACGTGAGTCGTTTGAGTGGTAGCTAAGCGCAAGGCAATCATGTTCCATTTGTAGGTATCTCACAATGACAAGTGCGGAAACGAATGCCGCTCTCTAACATTTAAACAGTGCACAGAGGCACACCAAGGCTGGGAATAACGAAAAGTGGTCCAATGTAGCATATCAACGGGACGAGACAGGTAGACTTGCAGCATATACACATACACATGTAGACAAAGCGGCAAACCACCTTTGCGACCGCTGCGCGAGTAAAAGGCCAAGCTAGTCCGACGTCGGTCACTCGGGCGGGTAGACCACCAGCATTACGAACAGAGTCCAGATACCTCCTCGCTGATTCGCCGCCATGAGCGGGTCGACGCACAATGAGAAACTGGTGGGCAATAGTGTGCAGATGGATACGCGACAGGCGACGCCACCGAGCGCCAACGGCGGAGTTAACTCGTGGCAAGTTGCGGTCGGTCAGTGAAGCCCACACAGTGCGGACCGCGTCGATCATGTGCGCAGCACGAGGGTAAGCTGAGCTGATCGAGGTCACGGTGCCGTTGGACACCAGGCTTGCCAAATTGGGAAGCTCTTGTTCATTCAGACCTGGAGAATTCGAGATGAAAAGAGGTGGGGAGAGAGTTGCTGCAGGGAATAAGGAAGAAAAGTAACTAAAATAAAGATGCCAATTGAAACGTGATATCCAGTGCGGTCTTATACATGACAGGGCAGATAGAAAATACAATACATCGGACACAGCTACGTGTTTATATGCCAAAATTAAAATCCACCAATGTGAAAAAGCCATTCGGGGAATGTCAATGCATATGTGAAATAAAAGTGAAACAAATCGATGTTTATGCGAGACATGAATTGACGTTGGCTGCGGGGTGTGGAAGCGACAAACTGTCGATCGTGGTAGGAGTGACATCATGGTCTAGTAGGGAAAGCATTCCCAATAGACTCGGTCCAAACAACAAGTAGTCAGAGAAGCGATCGGTTGAGTGTTAGCTCACGTACAACTTAGCGGTAATACTGTGGCTGAATAACTCGGTGAAACATCAGAAAAGTCAGCGAAGACATACAGAATGCTTGCCTAGTAGGAGGGTAAGATGTACAGTTTCCGCATGACGAGTACAATCGTAGCAGTCAACATCTGGGTTAGAGCACTCTGTAGACATGAAAACATGACCTGTGTGTGTGTGTGTGTGCAGCTATCGCTCACATCCGGAGGGGAAGTCAGATAAGCCGGGCTGAGTCTCGAAAGTAAGAGATGACAACAAACGCCATGTTTAAACGACCGTGGGCGACCAACCCAGGTGTATCGAAGGATATGTATCAATACGTTGACGATTGCCATCGCGTGATAGGAAGCAATAAAAGCGGTCAGCATCTTTTAAAGACGAAAACGATGCAAAGCAGTCAACGACTAAGCGTTGATAGTCTCATACTAGCCTCTTCTCCATTTATGGCTTGTGAGTTTAGCCCTCATCTCTCAGTTGCACTAGGTTGTAAACAGTTTCGCGGTCATCAAAGGGGCTAGAGTAATTCCATCGAAAATAACGATAATCTATGCACCAAAGTATGGTGGGTCCAGCTGTTTAGATAAAAGACTCACAGTCTGTGTGTCTGCGGTATGCGTGGCGCTGCTCTAGCACCTGCCGCAAAGTAAATATATGGTCTATACAGCCACGTCCTGGGCGAAAACCGGCCTGCTCTTCCCTAATCCGAGATTCCCGTTCTGCAGTGAGGCGACGAACGATAATCGAGGCCAGTAATTTTTGTCACAACTGGCGTTAGGCTAATACCCCTGCGGTTCGTACAGTCTGTGCGACTGCCCTTTTTGTATATTGCCACTATAATCGATTCGCTCCAATTAGCCGGCACACTCTCTTCGTTCCAGATACGTTCAAATAGGGAGGTCAGTGCTTTGCAGAGGACCTCACTTCCATCCTTAAATAGTGCAGGTGGGAGGGAATCCGGGCCAGCGGCACGAAAACGATTGAGGGCTGTAATCGCGTTTCGGACCTAGGCGTCCGACCGAGGCTCTAAACTAACCGTCCCACGGCACGTCCTGCATCACCTGAGTAGGAAGAGGTCCGGGAGCAGGGGGCCAGTTGAACTGATGTTCAAAGTGCTCAGCCCAACGAGCCATACGGCGCTCCTTATTGTGTATCAGCGCACCCGCGCTGTCTCTGATTGTCTCACTGACGCCTGGTTTTCTCGGACCAGTGGTGCGTATTAGCTGGAAGAGCTTCCGGTAATTACCTACTGCTCCTGCCTCCTTCATTTCTTGAGCCCGACTGGTCCACCAGGCTTCCTTGTCAGCACGTAGGCTCCGCTTTAGTTCACGCCTAATAGCCCGTCTGGTCACATTGTGTTCAGAACCAGCCGGGAGGTGCCTTCTAGCTTCCAAAAGGTTCACGGACCTCTCGGATATCCGGTGACTGGTGCGATGACGACTGATAGTGCCACAAACAGATGCTCCTGCGTCGTGCATAGTGGCCGAGATCCTATTCCACTGAAGTTCAGTGTCATTAGGACAAGACAGTGAGAGTTCGCTATGCAGTGTATCTTGATAGGCTTGCCTGACCGAGGGCTGGGACAATTTCTCCGTTGCCAATCGGGGGAGACGCTTTGTGCGCCGTCCGGTAAAGTTCATGGAGAAACGACAGCGCACCAAGGCATGATCAGCGTCGACACAGGTACTCCAGTACGAGCGGCAATCCAGAATGGAACCGCGCCACCTGTAACCTATGGCTATGTGGTCAATTTGCGTCCATCGCTGGCCAGCTACAGGTGGACGCCAAGTGGCACTTCGGCGCCCACTGTGTCTAAAAGCAGTGCTACTAAGAAACAACTGGTGCTCCGCACACAGTTGCAGCAGACGCTCGCCGTTATCAGTCCGTTCGGCGTTAAGTCCATAATTACCACCCAGCTGAGCTTCTGAAGAGCTCAGACGCCCTACATGTGCGTTCATATCCCCTGCAAGTACTATAATATCTGAACTAGTAGCACTGCGTAGAAGCGTGTTCAGTTCGTGATAGAAAGTGTCCTTGACTGCATTAGAACTGCAGTCGGTGGGAGCATAAGCAGAAATCACAAACAGCGTTTTGTTTTACTTCGCGAATTCACCTTAACTGATGTCGTCAAACGGGCTGCACATAAACGGCTGTTCACCGGAATCCAATCAACCAACAATGACTCAGCCTTGGAGCTGAGAATGATACCTACACCAGCTTGACCCGTGAGTGCCGCATCGGCGTCTCCGGATGCGTGCAACCAATAACGAGAGGATAAGCCGGGTGCAGTCAATTCAATAACCCCGTTAGGGTCATTAATCCTAGTTTCGGACACACAACACACATCATCACCCAGTGTGTCTAAGGTGCATGCGAGTGCAGCCTGCTGACCTATTTGTCTTAGAGTGCGAACGTTGAATGTCGCCATGGAAACGGGACAGCGTGGCCTTATAAGGGACTTTTGCCGATAGGCGTCCGATAGGTGCTGTGGGATGGTGGCTGCAGATGGTACTACTCCAGTAGCACTTCGGTTGCTGTCAATTAAGCTGGGAATTATAGAAGGAAGGTTAGTAATAGGGGCCGGGATGGGAGTAAGAGAAAAAGGTGGAAAAGAAAGAAGGGAGGCGCCAGCAGTAGCATGTTTTCGCTTATCCGCCCTGCTGTATGCAGCAGATAAGGCGACCCTTGATAATCTGCGCGACGGCCGATGCAGGATGAAGTTTATGTTTGAAGAAAATGTCATGGTTGTATGTGGGCTGGGATACTGCCAGGGCGCCCAGACCTAGACAGGAGAACGATTAGGGTCCTCATCCAAAGCCTTTGGCTCAAAAGCCTGTCCGCAAGGCAGCGGGGTGGCAGTGATTTAGTTTTACAGAAATACAAGGTGGAAAGCAAAACTTAGGCCAAAAGTAGGAAGGCGCTAAACTCATATTTGGTAACGGTCGGGGGCTCTAGACTAGCTGGTTGGGGCGCAAGGATTACAGGCACACATGACCGGAAACCCTAGCGAACATGTCAAAATACCGTAAGCGATGGTGAACATGTTGCAGTGCAAGGGAGATCTGCGCAAGAGCAGGTGACTCATGCTTACACACAGCCCACGCGCGACCGCTGGTGGTAATATACTCCGATATGATACGGACGCCTTCTTTTGGAGAAACACAGTAACAAGATGCCAACAACACAGTACCATACACGGACAGACGGATTGACCCAACGGGGTAAAATGACAAATAAAGAGTGACTAGTGATAAAAGTGGGAGACTGCGGGAAGCCTTTACACTGTTGCTATAGCCTCATCGGGCCCCTAGACACCCGCCGACAAGGAACGGCTGTTGCAACTGACCTACGGTGGATGAACTCGTCTAACCCTGGAAAGTAGTAAATCTGTCGAAAACAATAAAATGATGTACAGGAAAGCAGAAACGTAGCGAACCGTAACGAGAAAGTGACATGCACGAAGAATGGGAAAATCCCAAACTAGCAATGGAAAACTGGCGACTGAGTTTCCAAGAGGTTCGAAAGTGTGATGCTAAGATTTACAATGTATCCGCATGCGGCCAAGAAGAAGGAAAACATCTACAGAACCAAAGGAAGACGTATGAGGTGGTCAACCGGCGAAGCCTGATGTGTACTATCGCTCGACGAGAACATGCACAGAGAATGAAAACAGCGAACGTATAAGCTGGCACAAGTAATGAAAAAGTCAAGTTAGTAAATACTTCGTGAGATGCAAGGGTTGGAAGACTAACGAGGGAAAGAGTATGGTGTGTTATAAGTTGGTGCAACTACCCCTGGAGCCAGCAACATTGAAAAAACTGGAAAAATGACAGTATCGGGTCAGAAGTGGACCAGGCAACAGTCCGAAAAGCGGGAAGGCCAAAGGACCACAGACAGAAGCGTGCGAGGAAAACAAGTAAAATTACAGCTCGATGAAGGGTTCTAGCAAGACTATAACACGTAACTTCATGGAAGACGATGTCGAATGAATGGAGCCACAGGTCGTCCGATTAAATGCACATGAAAAAGCTTGTTGCCACAAACAACAGTTCTTCGCAGCGTTTGGTTTCTGAGAGACGAGGTTTGGGACCGTCTCAAATGAGATTAATGTGCAGATGGAAATGTCTTTCGTACTTCATTCAGGCTAATACAAACTAGAGAAATCCAACCAATACTCGGAGGCCTTAAACTAGGCGAATAGGCAACTTCAAACGTTTACTGCACTGCGCTTTGATGGCGATTGGAGTTTGCATTCCGTTCGCTTACCTCATACAACTGATGACTGATGCTTTGACTCATATTGATGTTGCTGCTTTACAGATCAAGAAAACAATTAGCGAGGATGCACTTTGGAATATGACATTCCGGGAAATATGTGTGGGGTTGGCTGTCAGCAGAACTAAGGGATAAGCAGACGAGTTACTAGAAGGAGTTCAATTGACTACACACACACATGCATACAAGGTTCTAGAGGCTAGTGCATGGGAGCGAAAGGATACGCGAGATTAGTTCACTTCACCGTAAACCGGCTGGCATGAGAAACGGTTTGCACAGTAACATTCCGGTGCATAACGTAAACGACGAGGTATCCATTCGGAGGAAAATAAGTGAAACCAACGATGAAGGCATCACGCAAGTGGTGCTTTCTGCCACAAACTCACTCAAATGAACAGCATTGATATGCTGTTGCAAACTGCTCTTGGTAGTAAACGATTTACCACAGCTGTCACAGTTATGGGGGCGTTGTTCCAAATGAATCGAAATACCAATAACATTGAAGTCATTAGCACAAACCCAAAGAAAATAATGAAGTGGCGTTGAACTGGGATAGTGTTGTAGTGGGTTATAGTCTCAGACAACCAACAGGTAAAATGCACGAAATGAGGCCAGATAAATAAGAGTTTGTGTACATCAGTCCAAGGAATATGGGTGCGTCCGAGCACATAAAAGTTTTGCGTTTCAAATGATAGGATGAGACCCATTGAAATATGAACCGCTTGGCAGTTATCACAGACATTTAGTAAGATGACGAATGAACAGTTAAGAGTAACAAGATGGTTAATCTATGCAAATTGCGAAGCTAACCACGAAGGATCACGTGCTCAAACGGAAGGCGCTATCTTTGCAGTGCAAAACATCCGCGGACGTGAATTCCCCGAGCCAAACCGTAACGACTGCTCATGAGTACTGCGTTCAGACGGAGAGAACACGTGTGTAATGTTGCGTCTGTCGCAAAAAGTACGATGAGAGACAAATACATTGACAAAGAAATAGAGCGACAAAAAAGCGGATCAACAGTAGAACGACTTTGGTGAAGCAATCATAAGCGAAGTGTACCCTATGTCCGTTTGCTTACCTGGAGCGTGGGCAGAATTCAACTGATCCATAACTTGAAGGCCACCAACAACCACAAGATCAGGAAATATGTCCCTGGTTGGAGATCGACGAGGTTTACCGTGCGAAGGAGTATGAAGCACAGAGTCTCGCCAAACGTCCAAGAGATCTGGCCATAAGCCACTTAGACGAGGATTTTCTTCGTCGCGCACGAGGATGTAACTGTGGAGGATGAAAGAAGAAAATAGTTTTGGATTTCAGAAGGCCAGAATGAAACAACACAGCGCAACGTATCAACAATGATGCGACGTTACTAAACAAAACAACTGTACAGTATAGTTGGTGCTTATGGTTTTATAAGCCATAAGCATCGAACACCCTGCTAGCAGGAAATAATAACGCAGATGAATGGTAAAGCAGAATGTTGAGATCGTAAGAAAACGCTGGGGATCAATGTAGCTGGATTTCAACAGTGCCACAGGGACACACAGCTATCGAATGAAGATCAGACGATGTCGGAGACACAGCTCCTTGCGACTCACTGCCTAGCGTCATACTAGACCCCACCACAAAGGTAACCCAGCACCATGAACAAGAAGCATTGCTTTACAATCCCCATTGAGTGGACTGGTAGGGTTATCGAAAAGCGTTAATAATAATAAACAGTTAGTACTTTGGCTACCAAAAGAAAAACTTGGCGTTTGTAATGCAGTAGTCCTGCATTCCGCGTATTTTCCCTGCACCAATAAGTGACGAATAATAAATCCGAGTTATTTCCAAATAGTAGAACGGAGAGCTCGCGTTAAGTAAAAAAAATGTAAGTGGCTAGTCTCGGTGCAGAAAAGACCGATTCAGGGAGAGCGTTCCATAGGTGACATTGACGAATAAAAAAGAAAGTGGCTATAGAATTGAAGAATGGTAGCTCAGGTTGTTCAGATGGCGGTTGAACTGTTCGATGAGCTTGGTAATTTTGTTGAAAACGTTTCATCACCAATCAAGGTGACAACATCACTGCGTAGCTGAGTGCCGTACAGTAGCGTAGAGGAGACTCAGTGAGAGTACCGACAAGCCCATGCCCAACCAAGCGGTCCACTCCAGTTCATCAGCTTCTATTTGGAGCCCTCGATAATCCTTCAGATTGGTATGCCTCAATGTACACACATTACTACAGATCGGTCAACAGGCAGCACTTTCCGAACATTAGAGACCCTCGCGATCGATATCTGTTGCTTATCGGAGACTCGCCTGCAAGGCTCAAGCTCTGCACTCACTTTGCAATCCCCTTCAAGTGATACAAATAGTAGTTTCTCATTGCGCCTATCGGTGACGATGCAGCTTTGAGTACCGGCCAAGCCTATGTTGGTATTACCCTGAGTCCCCGGGTTGAAGCTGCTCTGGTTGATTGGATGCCAATCAGTAGCCGGATGTGTGCCGTCCGTTTGGCTGGCACGTTCGAGGTCGTGCGGGACTAATAGGACTCTATTCGTCATGGTTGCCTACGCGCCCACCGTGTAGCGAGGATTAAGTAAAAGGCGAATTCTATTGCCAACTGTACGAGCCCAATCGTCACAGAAGAAGCAGACACTGCAGTGCTGTCTGGGGATCTGAACGCGTAAGTTAGAAAGTCATCCACTGTTGAACAGCATCTGGGTGGTTAACACGATGTAGGCTCCAGTCCTGATAACGGTGGGAGGTTACTTCATTGGTGTGAAGATGCTCACTTATTTCTTGCGAGCACTAACTTCCGACACAGCACCCGCCAGAGGGTGACTTGGGGCCCACCAGCCTCGAACGAGCTATGGACGTAAATCGACCACATCGCGATCAGTTACCGCTGGAAAGACTGCGTCCAGAACTGTCACTCGATTTGGAGCACATGTGTGGACGCCGACCATGCATCTGTATGTGCCGACCTGTGGATGCGTTTCGGCGGACGCCCATGACAACGCTGTGAGCGCAATGACACCAGCGAACTGGCGAAGCTAACAGTTATGAATGCGTACCGAAGTACGTTGACTTGCTGGTTGAGCAAGAACGCACCGGATACCATTGAAGGCTACCAGACCTTAATAGCAGCAGGCAAATCCTCCGGTGGTAAGTTTAATAGCCCAAAAAGGACATTGGGTCTCTTCTCGGTCTCTAGAACTTGTCGATGCTCGTCGGCACATTCCGGCTAGAAGTGAACACAAGGAGACTCGCGAAAAGCTCCGGGCAAAACTTTGTGCTAGCCTGAAGAGAGACCGCAGATCCTCGTAATCTTACTGTGCGTCAGAGATGGAAGTGGTCGCTGCTTGTCGTATTATTCTGTCTGATAAGGGAAACGGGCAGCAGAAGACCTGGTGTTAGTGAGAATATATGTAAGGAGAGTGGGCAGCCTATTTACAAGTTGTCAAAACGCTTGAAGCGTTGGGGTGAGTACTTTGAAAGGTAATTTAATTGGTCGGAATTGCTGGATTTCGCGCCGACCACGGATCGCCCTGCTCCATAGGCTGTGCCTTTGGATCCACCCTCTCGCTAAGAAGTCGGAATGCTGAAGTTAAATAAAGCCGTGGGATCAGATGAACTTCCGCCAGCCCTCTTTAAATCAGGGGACCCTCCTCTTGTGGATGATTTCACTAGTTACTAGTTAGACAACTGGAGCCACTCCGTTGTTGTCCCAATTTTCAAGGGAGGCTCCCGTTCGGAATGCGGTAACCATAGAGGAATCAGTTTGATCGCCATCGTCTCCAAATTGCGTGACTCTGTCATCCCTCACAGACTGAATGGCATTCGTGAAAGCCAGGTTCGTGAAGAATAAGCCGGGTTTCGTCGAGGTCGCGGCTGCATCGACCACAGCTTCACTTGAATCAGCTGTTAAAGCACCGTCACAAATATTGGCGGCCCACCGTTGTCGGGTTCCTGAACATCAAAGGTGCTTTCGATCCGGTCGATCGACAGGTCCCTCGGGACTGTCTACTCAGGAAAGGTGCCCGAGAAATATGTAAATATTATCCGAGCGCTATACGCGCGTAGCTCGGGCAGAGTGAGAGTTTACGGCAAGCTTTCGCGGCACTTCAAAATCCCTAGCGGTGTGAGACAAGGTTGCCCGTTGTCATCATTCCTCTTAAACTTCGCTATTGACGAAGTCATGGAAATCGCGTTCACAGGACACGACTTAGGGATGGAGCTGCTTCCAAGTGAACGACTTCTTGACTAGGAGGATGCTGACGATACTGCTCTCATCTGTGACAGTTCATAAAGGTGTCAAGCAGCATTAGACAGATTAGTACTGGCCGGCGGCCGCTTCGGGCTTTGCTTTGAACCATGGAAGTGCAAAGCTTTCCTCCAAGATTGGCATAGACCGCCTCTTTGCGCTGGGCCTTGGTGTGGATCAGCTAGAAGTCATTTAAAAATGCAACTACCTAGGAAGTTGTATCAGCGTCGCTGAAATGGAAGCTGAGATCACAAACCGTATAGCAAAAGCCAAAGGCGCTTTGATAACCTTCGCCACCTAAAGTGGCGGCGCGACATCACTCTCACCCTGATGAGTGGAGTGTACAATGCAGCGGTACGTTCGACCCTACCGTACGGTTGTGAAACCTGGCCTCTTCGATCAGCCGACATAAAGTGGCTAGTTACATTCGACAACCGTAGTTTGGTTCATATCTCGTGGGAACACCGCGTGAGCAATGAGCGTGTTCGACACCTTGCTTACGGCACAGAAAGGAAATGAACCGCTCAGCACCGTTATTTCACGCACAAGGCTCCGATGGCTAGGCCACGTGTTACGCATGCCAGCCCACCGACTCCAGCGACGTGCGTTGTTTGCGCGCTCGTGGTCTGGATGGAAGAAGAGGAGTGGTGGCCAACCGATGACTTGGTCAGGAGGAAGAAAGGCCTCTGGTTTGAAGTTGGCCTCGGTTGAAGTCTCTATGCTCCCCGGTTGGGTCCCAATGACGATGAATACGTTTGGATAGATACACTTGTCGATACGGCAAAGAGCCGAGCACAGTGGTGTCAGAACAATACTGATGAGTAGTGAGGATTTTGGTATAATTCAGCTATTCATCACTGCCACTCTCAATCAGCAGTCTTAGGCTAGTCTGGAAAAGCACTAGACGTCGGCGTTACGACCCTTTGGGTCTCCTCAGTGGTGCGACTCCCAGCGGACTCCTACCAGGTTCCGCCCCCACGTCTTTTGGATACTAGCAGCTAGTGTCACTTCCCCATGAGTGACAGCTTCGGAGCTGCGTGATTGAGAGTTGACTATGATATAGCCCGGCTCACCATCTAATGCCATGTCGGTTATGAACTGTGTAGAGGACAGTGGTTAGCCTCACGAGCTAGGACTTTCCGCAAAGCACCCCGGCGAGGTACGAGGACTTGAAAGCTATACGGACAGATTTCTAGATATTACTGATGAGTAGTGCGGATTTTCGTATAATTCAGCAAATCCATCATTTCCATTCTCAAACAGCTGACTTAGGCTAAACTGGAAAAGGCAGAAATCCGTCACATCTGAGTGAGTCTAGATGTGACGAATTTCTACCTATACCATTCAACTCCCCTGTAATCTGGTAAAGCACCCGAAGCCGGTGTTTTGATTTTCTGGGTCCCGTCAGTGGCGCGCCTCCCAGTGGCTATATCATAGTCAACTGTCAATCAGGGCACACGTAAAAACACAAGCTACAAAGCGACACTTAGGCACAGTTACACATACGTTCATGCACACATTCACTATTATGACAAGCAGGTTGTATTCCTGTACATTTATGTTCTCACTTTGTTAGTATAACATGATCATGCCAGTAAAGGCGTTCCAAAGTTGCTTAAATAGTTCCACAGATGTGAAATAAGTATCCATTAAAACAATATAACCATCTTACAGAGTTTGGGTGAGTCTGTCCACAATACTTCCCAAATATAAATGTGTCTTTGGAACCAGGAGTGTTTTGTGATGCACCTTGGTACACTTTAAACTCATAATCATTCATTCATTATACACATCAGCTAGAGGTGGGAAACACCTCAGCTACTGTGCCGCAATACACAAACGAAAAAGGAAGATAAATACAAAAGTTGCATGCCAGCTGAGCTACCAGCAACGGATAGGCATCGTTCCGGTAAGCTACCAGCCGGCTAGTAGGTAAAAAGAAAAAATTATTATGTTTTACGCTAAGAAATGAGATCGTAGATGGAGGGGGTGGCTAAAAGGGATGGGGAGGGACAAAGTAACTCACAGC